CTCATCTTTCTCCCGCGGAGCGGCTGGTAGTTTCGAACCGCTGACCTTAAGGTTCGCAGCCCGATTCGTAACCACTACGCTACCAGAGCTCCTTAAATAATAATAGTAACAACTAGCTTATTCTTCTACTTCAGGAATCCCAAAATTCTCTTGTTCATTGGGGGTTTCGTATCTGATTCTCAAAGGTAAGACTGCAATCTCTATTTTTTTGTTCATTTTTCTGAAAAATTCTTATCATTACTACTTTGTCTCTTCTGGAGAAGAGATATTCAACTAGGTACTGAGTGGTCTTCCCTTGGTCCAGATGGTAAAACTCATTTGAATTTTATCACTAAGCTGAGGGACAGCACTAGGTTTTCTGGCATCTGGAAGGAACTTCTCAGGAGTTGAGCCCATGCCCAGACATTTAGGCCTGGGGAAAATAAGACAGTGAACAGATTTCAATAAACTCTCAATAATTCACATGAAGGATTTTGTTTTGTTTTGTTTTGTTTTTTTAAAATATGAATTATGGGGAGATGATTTTAGTTGGGAAATGCAAATTTTTTTTAAACACTAGAAAGTTTGACTTCACACCATAGAGATGGAAGTAGATAGGTTATTTTCACTTAAAAACCAGGCTCTGGCTAGCAGCAGTCTAGAACCCTTGACACTGTGTGTGCCTTGATGATCAGAGATCATAGAATGGCACAGAAGACAGTAAGATCCACTTAATCTGAAGAAAACATTGTAAGTTATAGTTCCGAGCATAGGGAAATGATATTCCATTTACATCAAGAGCTAAATAAATCCAAGTACATATTGATGATGCAAGCACCTCTTTTGCATTCTTCAGCCACAGCCCAACTAATTTCAATGATTTCCTGCTTTAATTTCCCACGCTCCCCCCCACTTTTACTTTTATTTTAAGTTTAATTTATTCCCTAGCCACACGTTTTTGCTTCTTCAGTTTCTTGATATATTTTTCTTCTGTACAACCTCTTTTTCAGGTTTAGGAAAAATTTGCTCCTTTTCAGTGAGGATTCTTTCAGTGTGTCAGGGAGAGCTCATGTAGGGGTGGACCTGACCATGCACATCTTGGGCTCTTTGCTGACTTGGATGTGCTCAGTGACCAGAGAATCTACATCTAAACACTTACGTTCAGCATTTCTCTCTGCATTTTTAAGCATGTGTAGCAAAAATTCAGTGCTCCCTTTGGGCCACTGACCCTGTGTCCAACCCCACTGTTTGGCCTGGGCACACCTACCAATGCCACCATTGTAACATTGAAATGATATGGTACACGTTGCTTCTGCAAAATGACATTTTTCAGATACTTGGTGGCTTTTTGGCTAGGCATATCCTTAATGGCCTGGGCAGTCTCACAGGTATTCTTAAAATGGACCTGGAGATTCGAACCTCTTGATTTGCATGATTTTGTAGGGTTTTCTGGGTCAAGTGAGTAGTGAATCATTTGGTGAGCTTACCTCAGACTGCTTATGGGAAGAGCTCTGGTTTAATTTTTTAAAAAAATACAAACATTTAAGAAAATCAGACATTTTAAAGTTAGCTATCATACGCTTTCAGCTTTCAAAAGAAGTCTTCTAATAGTAGTTTCCTCATGGGGTTGGTTAGTATTCAGTCACAGAAGGGGTAGACAAAAAGAAGAGTTAGGTGTTAGAAAACTGATTTTAATGGGTGACGTTGGGAAAGTTACAAAACCTCTCTGTTTGTCCAACTAAAAAATGTATTTAAGGAGACTGGAAGGATTTCTACTGAGATAATATATGGTGCAGACCTGGCTTGAAGTTACTATTCAATAAATATCAATCCTTCTTCCTTTTTCTTTTCCTTTTTGATCCTGAATATTGTCATCTATGAAATAAAGGATGGTATTAGAAACTGTAGTAGTAGTTCTAAAGTCTCTACTAGTTCTAAAATTGTAGAATATTTAGGAACTCAATTTCTGCAACAGAAAGAAGAAAGTTTAGGTTACTGCACTAAGATTAGGTTCTGTATGAGCCCCATCATGAACGCCTTTCAATTATGAATTGTATCAATGGCAACTATCATTCTAATTTCCAAATTCTCCTCTCTTCTTAATACTCACTCACGTTTTCCTCACTTAAAAAAAAGTCTTCACCAGTTATTCTTACATATGTGTTAGCATCCATTCATTTAACAGACAGTTTATTGATACACTGAGTGCCAATTTAGTGACTAAAAGCTGAGCTCGGGAGATAGATAAATCTGGTCTAGGTTTCCCTTAAGCATGTATGACCTCAAGCAAGTTCTTTAATATTTCTAAGTTTCAGTTTTATTTTATTAACAGTGTAATAATAATAATAATAATAATAATAATAATAATAGGAACTACTTCTGTATAATTCTGTGAGGACAAATAATGCACATAAATTGTTTAGTACAGTGTGGGTATGAAATAAGGGCTTGGGAGTTGCAATGACCGTTGTTATTCTACTGTTGTTTGTTAAATGAATGCCAAGCTTTGTGGTGGGTGCGATGTAGAATATTAAAAAAATGTGTAATGCACAGAAGTGATTAGGTGGAGGGCCTGCTCTCCCATGGCCTCATTAATATAACCAAATAAAATCATTTTTCTAAACAGATCATGCCTATAGGTACAGAGGCCAAGGCTTCTATATAGCTTTTGGGGACACAAATTCAATGCATAACAGGACCTAATCTATTAACTGGCCCAACAATCATCCATAATACTATGATGGTTGCCTTTTTCCCCTCATCTGTGTCAAAAGGGATTGGCTAGACAAACAATGATAGAATATTGGGGAAGGAAAGACTATTTCAGAGTTTCTGTGAAAAAAGCATTCTGCTGTGGGTATTGCCTTTTCTTTTCAAAGAACACGTGTATTGCTTTTAATCAGGTTCCACCCCATGGTTGATTCTTCTACATCACGCTTGGAATTTGTCAATTCTGTCACCCAGTTTCTAAGGAACCATAACTTTGATGGGTGGGATGTAAGCTGGATCTACTCAGATCTGAAAGACCACATACATTTCACACAACGGATTCATGTAAGCCCAACCTCATGGTACACGCAGTGCCTTTATATAGCCACATTATATTAAAGGGAAAGAAAGAGTTTGGGTTTTGTGGGAAGAAGCACCCAGCGGTGGGAAAAAGCCCCTAGTTCTGGTTCAGAGCAGATTATACACCAAATAACTCACCAAAACCCATTGCCTTTGAATAGACTCTGATTCTTAGCAACCGTATTGTAGTTGTTGTAAGTGCTGTGTTGAGTTGGTTCCAACTCATAGCGACCCTGTATTCGAGGGTTTCCGAGGAGTGGCTGGTGAGCTTGAACCACTGACCCTTGTGGTTCAAACCATGCTTGTGATCCAGCACATTAACCCACAACACCATGTCAGAGTAGAGCTGTCCCACAGGGTTTCCAAAACTGTAAATCTTTACAGGAACAGACAGCCTCAACTTTCTCTCATGGTGGGTTTAAACCACTGAGTTTACACTTTGAAGTCCAGCACTTAACCCATTGCACCATCAGAGCTCTTCATCAGACAATAGAACCCCCTTACATAATGACAAAATAACACCCACAGGGGGCCATGAATGAATTCCCTGGGTGCTGAAATAGCCTCATAGAAGAAGGATTTGGTTCACAAGATATGTCAGGAGAAGATCCAGATCATTTTTTCTTGGGCATCCTCACTTTCCTGGATACAGTGAGTCAAGATCCTCCTACTTCTCTCCTCCTAGGGTGTCCACCTCCACACTCTCCAATGTAGAGCTTTCCTGGACAGACATAGGAACAAGGCATCCACATCAGGAGATATGAGGGAAATGGTTAGAGAAGCCTCACAGTCCTGTGCCAAGAATCTTAGCCCTGTACTGGGGGTGGGGAAGGTGGTGTTGGGGAGGATCTGACTCCTTATTTTTCACAGGAATTAGCAGAAGCCTTTCAGAAAGAGTTCATAAAATCCAGAAAAGAGAAGCTTCTCTTGACTACAGGTGTGTCAGCAGGGAGGTAGATGATTGATAAAAGCTATCAGATCGAGAAACTGGCAAAGTAAATTGATAGGAACATCTCTGCCATGCTTCTATCTCCCAACTGGTTCATTCAAATGATGTAATTCATATGCCTGAGGAGTGGGGTGCCCTGGAGTTTAAGCGGGAAGGTCAATGCCCTAACTCCACACCATTCAGTCAGAAAAATCTTCATGACTAATTTCAGTCCTGGTGTGGTGCTGTAGGATAAGCACTCGACCACAAAGTCAGCTGCTCAGACTCACCAGCTGCTCCTCAGAATCCCTATACAGGGTTGCTATGAGTTGGAACCAACTTGATGGCACAAGTGCACTCATAGTCTGTTGTTGTTGTTGTTATGTGTCATGGAGACAGTTCCGACTCATAGTGACCCTGTACAGGGTTTCCAAGGCTATAAATCTTTACGGGAGCAGAAGGCCTCATCTTTCTTCCACGGAACAGCTGGTAGTTTCGAACTGCTGACCTTGCAGTTTGCAGCCCGATTCGTAACCACTACACTACCAGAGCTCCTTCATAGCCTGTTAAGTATAATCATTTATATCTCTGCTCATCACAACATCTCCTTTGCTTTTGACACTTTAGAGAAATAGATTTCATCAACCTCCTGTCCTTTGATTTCCATGGAATTTGGGAAAAACCCCTCGTCACTGGCCACAACAGCCCTCAGAGAAAGGGGAAACAGGACAGTGGGTCAAACTCCTATTACAATGTAGTGAGTCATGCAGAGAAAGCATAATGGGATGCTAGCTGCACATGTCCCTTTCAAACTAAGGAGGTGCCCAAGAGGAATTCAAATGACCTTGGAGTCTAGTGAGTGATGGAGAAATGCTTTAAGCAGATGTCAATAAAATGCCACCTGGAAAATGTTAGAAAACCTGGTATTTTAAGTACCACAAGCTCTGTCTTTGGTCCAGCATGTCAACCATCCCAGTCTTTTCCTGTACAGAACTTGGTACCCTCCAGTTCCTGTCCACAATCACTATTTAATTTCATCTTCAGAACAATCTTTAAGGTCAGGTGGGCAGGAAATGCTACTCCCATTCATAGATGATGAAACGGAAGCCCAGCAAATTCATTAACAGCTCAAGGACATTCGTACAAATATGAAAGTATCTTCTGATTTCTAGTTGAAGTTTTCTAGGTCTTCACATGGTAAAGTAACATTAGCTTCCCTCCTTTCTCAATAGCTGGCTATCTTTAAAGGTCAAGACCCAGATCATTATCTAACCCATTATTTTTTTTCCTGGAGATTGGGAAGGACAAAGTTAATTTTGTGCCTTTTGATCTGATCCCTTGAATACAAGGTCTTTGCAAGGCCACATGTACTGAGTCTGACACTCATTGTACCCCATCTAGGCCAGTAAAGCAGAATTAGTCGCAGTTCAGGCAATTTCCATGAGCAATTTACACAAAGGGGAAGGAAAGACATAGTGACAATCTTGATTTCATGTTTCCTAGGTCACTAGAATGGTTTCGTTTGTGATCCGCTGTTCAGTATTCTTCCATGACTTGGAAAAAGCTGAACAAATCTTAGTGCAAAGAACTTTAAGTCATTATAATGAAGTATTTTGGCCCTAGTGGGACTGTCCACACTCCACTTATGCAGAAGGGGATAAGAGTCATCTCTGCGGAGTTTGGAGGGGTGGAGGCTATGAACGACTACTCCTATCCTGTGACTCGCTTTAGCTTCTTTTTATAGCAATATGCTGTGGAGTACTGGATAAACAAAGAAATGCCTGCAAAGAAGGTGCTTATGGGCATCCCCACGTATGGGCATACTTTCACACTGTCCACTGCAGAAACTACTGTGGGGGCCTCTGCCTCCGGGCCTGGAGCTCCTGGACCTATCACCAAGTCTCCAGGCTTCCTGGCCTATTATGAGGTACCTGGAAGTTCCCTGGACCTTCAACTATCTGGATCAGATTCTTCCCAGGAGGCAGATAGATTTGGCATTACAGGGATAGTTGTCAAAGTTGTTCAGTTCATTAGACTACCTCCTGAATCTAAGGAAATAAATAAAAAGCACAGTGAACAATGGAAATCAACCAACAATTCAACCTACAGACACTCTTGGGACACTCCCATATCCCAAACACTGGGTATAGTGAAAGCTAGAAATAAGTACCGAAGGGATGACTACCAAGGTGAGAAGAATGTAAACTACAAATATAACTAGTCAAACTGAATTTAAATATATATATTATTTATGTACTAAGTATATAATTCGCTGGAGAAGGACATCATGTTTGGTAAGGTGGAGGGTCAGAGAAAAAGAGAAAGACCCCCAAAGAGATGGATTGGCCAAGTAGCAGCACTGATGAACTCAAGCGTGACAACAATAGTGAGGTTGGTCCAGGATCCAGGCAGTGCTTCGTTCTGCTGTGCTATAAGGTCGCTATGAGTCGGTATGACTCGATGGCACCTAACAACAACAACAAGAAGTATACAATTATAATATATAATAAAATTACAGAGGCATTTAAAAAATAAGATATGATTAAATGCCCATTGAGTGGAACACGAAGCTAGGAGTTCAGAGAGACTGGGGATAGTTTCATGGAAGAGGAGATTTTTTTTTTTTTTTTAATGATTTATTGTGAATTATGTGATAGTTTACATGGGAGAACATTAGTTTTACATTCATTCTATCGTATATCATCTCATTGCCATGGTTATAATCCCCTCCATGCAATCTTTCCCCCGTGCCCCCCAGGTCTTCAGCACACAGTCGCTCTCCCTCTCCGGATCCAAAGTCTCCAGCTGCTCCATAGCCCCACGTCATCATCTCTGGCTCCATTTCAGGCATCATTGCTTCTCTGGGTAAGGTCCTGCTCTCTGCTCTTCTCCCTTGATGGTCCTCGGGACCTCCGCTCCTAGACTGAAAAGTTAATCACTCCCCTCCTTGCTATAAAACGTCCACCTTTACATTTCCAATCCTCACAGTCAGTCCTGATAACAATCATTCACCATTGTATCACAAGAGACCCGTCTGCATTTCATTGCATCAGCCCCACCTAGTCAGATTGAACACTACTCACTGGAGATTCTACCTTCCTCCAGGCCCTCTGAGTCTAGGTTCCCTCTTGAAAGCTTGTAAGCCAGTCACTTCTTGCCTTTGTAGCCCCCAACCCCCCATTTTGGGTAGCCAATGTCCAATTTGCCCATCCCTGTCTACTCTGTGTGTGGAGGGGGTGGGAATGATTCTTGCTGTAAAGACTTGTTCCCTCTTTTGAGCTACTGCTTCCATAGGTGTAGGTCAAGTTCATCAAATTGTATGAGAATTTTTTTTTTTCCTCTGCTTTTTACTTCTGGTTGAGCTCCGATCATCCAGTCATCGAAGCCAGGACAAGTAGGTACCATCTGCACGTGTGGGTGTTCTTATGCATATGCCCTCTCTTCTTATCAACTGGACGCTTCATTCTCCACTTTAGTCCTGGAAGAGGAGATATTTGTACTGGGTCTTGAAGGATACAAAGGAATTTGATCAGGTGGAGGAAAGGATATCATCCTACATCCAGGGACCCTTCCTGGAATCCCCTTGGAGACCCAGCCTGAACTCTCATCATGAGAGTGGACATACCATGAGCCCATGCTGAGTGATTTAGCACCCACTTCACCATTCAACAAGGGAAGACTGAGGCATCATAAATTCAGTTGGCAAGAGGAAAGGGTCATGGACCATGATAACATCCCTGGTGCATCTGAGGGTGCCTGACAAATTAGAGGGAGGAGAGAAGAGAGGCTTACCTACCCTTGGTTTGTTCTAGATCGATAATGATAACATTTTAAATATAAGAATCAAGAGAAATCACTGTTCAGAATCTGCTGGTAGAGTTTAAGTGCTTCCAAGTTGATTCTGACTCATAACAACTCTGTATAGGGTCTCAAAGGAGTAGCTGGTGGGTTTGAACTGCCAACCTTGTGGTTCATAGTGCTGATCTTACAGCTCCACACCCAGGGTCCCTATTTCACAAGAAGTTTAATTTCAGCATTCAATTTATCACTTTAATTATAGCTTTGATAAATTGATACTTAAATATTTAGCTTTCTATTTTCCACCCTAATTGAAGTAAGCAGAAACCCCCAAACCAAACTCACTGCCATTGAGTAGATGCCAACTTATAGTGATGCTGTATACCAAACAACAACAACAACAAAAATTGCCACTGTCCTTGAGTTGATTCCTGATCCTGTATAGGGGTTCAGAGACTGTAAATCTTTACAGGAGCAGAAAGTCTCCTCTTTCTCTGATGGAGCAGCTGGTGGACTGGAATTCCAACTTCATGGTTAGCAGCCTGACCCACAGCGCCACCAGGGCTCCTTAAGCATAGTAGAGCTAGTCTAAAAACATTCCAAAATAAACTTTCTGTGCAAGATTGGAATGACTTTATTTTTCACAGTTGATTTATCAGTTTTAGTTGCTTTTACTTAATGCTGGTAGAAAAAGAAAGTATCTGATGGAAGGAGACATTCCAGGACAGGGCAAACTGTGAATGATATAGGGTAGCTGGGATTAAATTGGGGATAATCTACAAGGTGTCGGGTGGTGGTAATGGTCATCATAATATGTTACATTTGTAGACTACTTCACTGCATTCAAAGTTTTTGTTTTTTTTGAACATGTATTAGTTCCTTTGGTCTTAACAACAGATAAGGCGACATTATTATAATTATTTCTCATTTTGAAAATGAAAAAAATGAAATTTTCTAGTCAGTGCTAGAATCTGATCTGGACCTCAAATGTTTTCTGATTTTTAGCTGCTTAAGACTCATCCTGATGAGAACTTGTGGTTCACCTCAGACTATGCAATCTGTATCTTGTATGGGGTCATTTCCCTCATTGTCTGGTACCTTACATAAAGGTTCTGATATTTTCCCAGATCCCCCTAATGGTTGGGGGAAGGTTCAAAATGAGCCCATTACTTACCCTCTTCTTGCTCCTTTTGCCAGATCTACCAGTTCCTGCAGGGAGCCAGCATCACAAGATTGCAAGATCAGCAGGTTCCTTATGCAATGAAGGGAAACCAGTGGGTGGGCTATGAAGATGTGGAAAGTGTGGAGACTAAGGTATGTAGGCAAGAGGTTCTGAGGCTATTCCTTTGGGTAGGGAATGGGGTGCATGGTGAAATACCCTGATACTCTCTGTTGGAAAGAATATTCTGGGACCCCAGCCATTAGGAAAAGAAATAATAGCTTCTGTTCCCAAGTCTAGTAGAGACACTAAACCACACCTGTGGCACAGGCAGGATATATACAGAAAAGAAGCCAGAAGGAATTGTATCTTGAGAACAAGTTGAGACGCGAAGTGTAGAAAGAAGGAAGGCATAAAGAGAAAGCAATGAGAATAATGGAGACAATGGTACCTATATGGAGAGAGGTTACCAACTTCATCCATCATCTAAGGACAAGCCCTTCAGTCCTCATGGACTACCTACTAGAAGTCTCCAGCTTTCTGAGCCAGGGGTTTGGACCTCACAAAGGCATTAATTAAGAAGTTCTGGTAGCATAGTGGTTACAAGTTGGGCTGCTAACCTCAAGGTCAGTAGTTCAAAACTACCAGTGGTTCTATAGGAGAAAGATTAAGCTTTCTGCTCCCATAAAGATACACAGCCTTGGAAACCCTATGCAGGGTCACTATGAGTCAGAACTGACTCCACAGCACATGACCACCACCACCAAGGCATTAAGTTGTCTTCTATGCTTAGGGCACGAGGGATGCATCAGTGTGATTGACAACTCCAGACTTCTTGTCTTGTTTGTAGCTTGTGGTTCTTGTCTCTAATCCCAGAGCATTGCCAGAACCTCCAAGAATGCTGGACCTGGGGCCAGGACAACAGGTGGTTATAGTGGATAGCTTTTTCTTGCTCTCATAAGCAACCCTGAGCAATTTGACTCACCCTTAGGAGGGACCAGTCACTGGAGAAGGATATCATGTTTGGTAAGGTCAGAGAAAAAGAAGAAGACCCCTAGTGAGATGGATTGGCCAAGTGGCAGCATCAATGGGCGCAAGCATGGCAATAATTGTGAGGGTGGCCCAGGATTGGGCAGCGTTTCATTCTGTTGTGCATAGGATCGCTATTAATCAGTACCGACTCGATGGCACCAAACAACAACAACAATCCCTTCAGGAAATCCCCAAGTCTACATAACCTGTAAGTCTACTGCTGCACTCGAAGCTCAGGCTCTCTTCTGAACCTGCCTTTGGTCATGGGCTTTTAAGGGTCTCTTCTACCCTCCTAACATGCCCATTTGTGCTTTTCTCAAGTTCAATTTCTAAAGAATTCAAAGCTGGGAGGAGCCATGATCTGGTCTATTGATATGGATGATTTCACTGGCAAATCCTCCAGCGAATTGTATAAAATTACAGAGGCACGTTAAAATAAGATATGATTAAATGCCTATTGATTGGCACATGCAGCTAGAAGTTCAGAGACACTGAGGATAGTTTCATGGAAGAGGAGATATTTGTACTGGTTCTTGAAGGATGTAAAGGAATTTGGGTCACTACCCTCTTGTCCAGGCTGTGAAGAGAAGCCTTGGCCCTCTATGAAGGTAACTGAGTTAGGACTGGGGCTGAGGCTGGAGTTGGGTCATAGAACTGGACAGAGGGGGAGCACAAGAGATTGGGGTAGATCACTGACACATATTTGGGCCAACTCTTTCTTATGCCTGTTTGAACTTTAACACTTATTTTCTTATCAACTAGGCTGGTTCTTTCTGTTAGGTCAATCCTCCATAAACCTTCTTTTTAAAATCGCTCCTTGAAAAAATATAGTTTATTTATTTTCGGTGGCAATATACTCAACAAAACATACAATTCACAATTTCTACACGAACAGTTCAATCACATTAGTTACACATGTCACCTTGTGCTATCATTCTCTCTTTATCTATATTGTTTCATCCCCATTCATTTAGGCTTTCTACATCTTTAAGTGCTCTTCTGTACTTTTTTATATTAGCTGTTGTCAGTTTACATTCATATATATGTAATCATGAGTGCTATGCTTGAAGCAAAATAATTAGGCTAAAATAACTATTTAAACAAATAGTTACTTAATATAGTTACTTCTTGTTGCTAAGTGCCATCAAGTTAGTTCTGACTCATAGTGACCTTGTAGAGGGTTTCCAAGGAGTGGCTGGTGAGTTTGAACCACAGACGTTGTGGTTCAAACTGACCTTGCAGTCGGTTTTCTATCCCACAGCGCCATACTTAGGCTAAAATAGTTACTTAGATAGGTTCAAGGGATGTTTCTACTCAAGGTTTAAAGATTATTTGGGGGCATTAGATTTGGGAGGTCCCCTAATCTCAATTAATCCAGTAAATCTGATTTCCATATGAGTTTAAAGTTCTGTTTCACTTTTGATCAGGATCCATCTAGTAGATTCTTGATCAAAACATTCAGTAATGATAACCGGGCACCATCCATTTATTCCTGGTCTTATGGTATGGAGATATCCCATGCTGCCGCTACTGTGTGTCACTAGTCAGTTCCGACTCATAGTGACCCTGTATGGGGTTTCTGAGGCTGTAGATCTTCGCTGGAGCAAAAAGCCTTATCTTTCTCCTGCAGAGTGGCTGGTGGATTTGAACTGCTGATCTTGTGGTTAGCAATCCAATGCATAATGCATTGCACCAGCCTGTTTCAATTTTCTAAATTACAATAAATCTAATCCTATTCCATCTATCTGCTGGACTAATAAGGAGCCCGGTCTCAGTCATTATTAATGCATCCTCTTCCCAGCCACAGTTGGTCTTGCATAGTCTTACATTCAGGAAGTTCCACTTGTCATTGTAGATAGGATCTTGCCCAAGTCTATCTATTATCTTGAAGGCAGGTGACTTTGCTGCTGATCCAAATCTGTGGTACTGGTTCCCTAGATGCATTGCATATCCTCTTAGAGAGAATACATGCCCTCTTGTGGAAGGGAGAGCTGCTACTAAAAAGCTAGTCATTCTGGATCTAAGTACTCCAGTACATTGTCCTGTAAAAGAGCTCAGAACAGTGAGAAAACTCCTTCACTAGAAGACTTCTACCTCTAAACATCTGTCATTCAGTAACTTGATTCAGGACTTTCTCTGGTTACTGATTTGGACTTTGGAATTATTTTTTTCTGAAATTTTATTTTTTTGTTGTTGTTGTTGTTGAGAATATACACCAATGCAACCATTTCCACATGTAGAATTAGTGACATTGATTACATTCTTCAAGTTGTGTGACCATTCTCACTCTCCTTTTCTGATTTATTCCTCTCCCATTAACATAAACTCATTGTCCCTTTAGATTCCTATCTAATCTCATCAGTTGCTGTAGTCCATTTGACCCTCCTCAGTCCATTTGGTAGTCTGTGTGCTTCTAAGAATTTGTCCATTTCTTCTAGGTTATCCAGTTTGTTGCCATACAGTTGCTCATAATAGTCTGTCATAATTCTCTTTATTTCTATCAGAACAATTATAATATCCCATCTTTTATTTTTTATTTTGGTTATTCACATCTTTTCACTGTCAGACTAGCTAATTGTCAATTTTACTAATCTTTTCAAAGAATCCATTTCTGGTTTTATTAGCTATTGCTTTTCTGCTTTCTATTTTACTTATTTCTGTTCTGATATTTGTTATTTCATTTCTTCTGGTAGGTTTCAATTTCATTTGATTCTAAGAAATTTGTGATTTCTACTATAATTTCTTCCTTGACCCAGTCAAGTTTAGCAGTGTGTTGTTTAATTTCCGTATGTTTGTGTATTTTCCAGGCATTTCCTTTTCTGTTATTGAGTTTTAGCTTTACTTCATTGTTGTTGTTAAGTGTTGTCAAGTCAGTTCCAACTCATAACAACCCTGTATAGGGTTTCTGAGGTGCAGTTAGTGGGCATGAACCACTGATCTTGTGGCTAGCTATCTAGTGCTTATCCTACTATACCACACTGGGACTCCTCACTCCATTGTGGTCAGAGAAAATGCCTGGTAGGATTTTGAACTATTAAATTTTATTAAGACTTGCATTGTGACCTATAATGTAATGTATCCTGTTGAATGGTCAATGGACACTGGAGCAGACCTTATATTGTGCTGTTCTGGGGTGGAGTATTCTATGTATTTCTCTTAATTTTGTTGCTTTATAGTGTGATTCAGGACGTCTGTTTTCTTGTTGATCTTTTCTAGATGTTTTATCCAATATTGAAAGTTTCTAACAATTATTGTCTATTTTCCTTTCAATTAAATCAGTGTTTGCTTTGAATATTTAGATGCAACAATGTTGCATATATATTTATGATTGTTAAATCATCTTGATTAATTGACCTTTTTATCACTATATAAAGTTCATCTTTATCTCTTTTGACAGATTTTGCCTTAAAGTCTACTTTGATGATAAAAAGATTATCACTCCAGCTCTCTTTTGGTTATTATTTGCATGGGATATATATATGTATATATATATATTCCCATTTCACTTTCAACCTATTTGTGTCCTTGTGCTTAAGGTATGTCTCTTGTAAAGAACATATAGATAGATCATGTTTTTAAACATTCTACTACTCTTTGTCTTTTGACTGGAGAATTTAGTACAGTTACATTCTCAGTAGTTACTGATAGGAGCTCTGATGGTGTAGTGGGTTAAGTGTTGGACTTCTATCCACAAGGCCTGCTTCATGGGACAAAGATGAGGCTGTCTGCTCCTATAAAGATTTGCAGTCTTGAAAACCCAAAGAAGCAGTTCTACTCTGACCTCTAGAATCACGATGAGTTGGAATAGATTCCATGGCAGAGTAGCTACTGATAAGAAGTCATTTATTACTGCCATTTTGTTATTTGTTTATTGTGTGCCTTAAGCCTTCTTTAGGCTTTAAGGAGTCCTGGTGTGGTGCTGTGTGTTAAGATGCTGGACTGCAAAGCCGATTTGAACCACAAGATCAGCAGTTCAAGCCACCAGTCATTCCTTGGAAACTCTGTACAAGGTCAGAACTAACTCTACAGCATTTAACAACAAGTCTTTTTTATCTTTATTCTTTTGTACTGCTTGCTTTTGTGTTTTGTTGGTTTATTGCAGTGAGATGTTTTTGTTTCCTTTTCTGTTCCTGTTGTGTATGCTCTTATATATTTTCTTAGTGATAAACCACAGGAAATATTTTTTTCTGTTATTTTGAGGCTTCACCTATAGCCAAGCAGACAAGATGACCTAGCTGTCTACTCCTTCTCCAGAAATTCTCACATGAGATTCACCTTGGCAGACTGACGTCAAGATCTGTCTTTTCCAAGCTTTCCCCTGAAGTTCTCTGAGACCTCAAACTAGGCCTGGCTTTGTGCTCCTGCAGCTGCTGACAACTTGTATAAGATACAATAAGAAAATACTTTTGCTCCAGCATGTGTGGCCTCACTTGTGCTGTAAGGCAGCCTTCCCCCCTACTGTTTGTGGGACCCACATGTCATATATTTAAATATTTTTAAAAGCTAAGAAATTATTAAAATATATTATTTATATTTTGACATTGACAAACATTACCTTCGTAACAACCTAAAAGATTGGATTTGAATTCAGATTTCACGGACCCCTCAGGATTCTGCATGAAAATTTGCTTCCCCCCTTCAGCCCTGTCTAACAGAACAAGGATCTCTCACACACACCGTGGACATTTCAGTCTTTGAACCTGCACTTCATCTACATCCTCTATAAATATCCTTGGGAATGTGTGGATATCCATCATGGTGTGGTCCACCCTCAGGAAAAGGCCTGTTTAGGAGAGTGGGCTTGAACCTATCTAGGCAGGGAGTCCTGCATATCTGGATCATGGTTTAGAAGAGGAGGAATGTGAGGTCAGGTGCATATGCCCCAGCCCTGTAGTCTCCTCATCTCATAGGGAGGGGACAGCTGGAAGCAACACAGTGGAAAACTCTAAGCAAAGGTCAGCAAAGTAAACCCTTGGGTCAAATCCAGCCTACTGCTAGCTTTTGCAATTGAAACATTATTTATTGGAACCCAGCCACGCCTGATTTGTTTACATAAGGTCTATGGCTGCTTTCCACTTCAAAACTGAGAAGCGGCAGATTCTATGACCCTCAAGGCCTAAATTGTTCATCATCTGGTCCTTTACAGAAAAATTCACCAACTCCTGATCTAAAACCATGGTGCCCTTGATAGGGACCCCTCTTGCTCATGTCTCAGACTATTTCTGGGTTCAGACACCCTCACTTTAGGATAACCTGTGTTGTTTCTCTCCCCCACTTCCCTTCCCATTCCTCCTTCTAGAAAAATCATTTTTATGCTAACAACAGAAATGATTTCATTTACATATGTAATCCCATGATTTATTAACTATGTAATGTAAGCTTCATACAGATGAGCTAACTGGGACTCAGGAAATGTAAGGTCACACTTTTAATAAGTGGTGGCAACCACACTCAATCTTAGAATGCAACAGCAACAGAATTTCTGTTGAGAAGGTGCTTAAAGCTGGTGACATGATCTGAAACAAAGTGAGGGTTAAAATACTAGGAAGTTTGTTTTAAAACTGTTCCTGATTAAGGAGTCCTGGTGATGCAGTGATTAATCACTC